ATGGGAGTGTGTTTAATAATATTCAATTATTATTATTATTATTATCATTATTTTTTTTCACATCGTTTATGATGTTTTGCCCTTGAGTCATTCAATAAAAGATTGATTTCAAAAAAAAAAAAAAAAATGGTTCGAAACGTTTATGAAAATTTTGTAACGTTTTAAAATACAAAAACAAAACAAAAATAAATTAAAATTTAATCGATTGACCTTTGATTTTATATATATATATAATTAATTATTGTAAAATTGCGACAAAAATTTTCACAAAAAAAAAAAAAATTTCCCTCCTTTTTGTTTTTTTTTTTTTTTTTTTTTATTTGGAAAACACCCAAAATGTCGAAAGAAATTTTTTTTAATAATGTTTTGTTTTGTTTTTTTTTTTTTTTAAAGAAAAAGTATTATTATTATTATTATCATTAAAAAAAATTAGGGGGAGGGAGGGTGAAAGAAAAAAAATAAAGGGAAAAATGTCGAAGGAATTAATAAAAAAAAAGTAAAAATTACTTTTGTGTAATCGTTAAAATTTTGGATAAAAAAAAAATTAATATATATCCTCAGGGATTTTTTGATTCGATTACATAATTCCCGGTATAAAATATTTTTTAACGTTTTTTTTTTTATTTCGAATCAAAACAAAAACAAACAAACAAACAAACAAAATTTTGTTTTTATTTCCACCGGATGTGATTCGTTGGGAAAAATAAAAATGGCGGAACAAAAATGAATTAAATGGCGGATTTAAAATTTAACCGTTTTTCGTTGTCGTTTCCGTTTCTTTTTCTCGTTTCGTTTTTCGGCTTTCGCACGATGAGAAAAATATCATCATCATCATTATCATTATTATTATTATCATTTCACGAACGCAAAAAGGAACGGGTAACGTACTCGTTTTTTTTTTTTAATTTACACTCGAATTATTTTGAAAAATTTTTTTAAAAGTTTGACCCTCTCTAAAGGTTTTTTTCAGTTGATTTCGTCCTTGTTACGCGTTTTCCCTTTCCGAGAAATTAAACGACGTGTAAATAGAAAAATTTGAAAACGCGGAAAATCAATATATATGTATATAACATTTTGGAAAATTCCAGTAAATAAATTTACAACAAATGGGAAAATTATAAAATTTTATTTATTTTTTTACTCGCCAGTTTCGACGTTGCCAGTTTTATTTTTTTTTATCGTGAATCTATTTACACGTCGTATATAATTTAAAAAAAAAAGGAAAAAAGGAAATAAAATAATATTGACGTTTAACGGTTGGAAAAATAATTATTTTGTCACAAAAACGTATGTTAACTATATGTTATGGTTTAATAATAATTAATTTTAATTTTATGGAATTTCCAATTTTTAATAAATAATTAAATAAAAAAATAAATTATTAATTAGGGTTTTTTTTCTTTCAATCGTCAACATTTCAAAAAAATAAAAAATTTGAACTTGGCCTCATTTTAATTATCTCGTTAAGGTCGAATTTTATATATACATAAAAAAAATAAATTCTGCGTATTTGAATTTTTTTTTTTTATGTACATAACTGAAAATGGATTGTTGACACATTTTTTAAAAATATTTATTTATTTATTTATGTATAATCGCCATTTATCGTAATTTTTTTTTTAATTAATTGGATTTGATTTGAAATCAAATGAATTCGAATGTAAAATTGATTGTCGCGTTGTTGTTGGGTGTTATGTAAAAAACCCCCCCCACCTCCCCATTTATTCCGTCTTCTTCCACTTTTTAGTAAATTTCAGGTCAAGGATTAACATTTAAATTTTTTTCTCTTTTTTTTTTTCCCCTCGAGCTTGTTTTTGTCACAATTTTTTTCTTTTTTTTTCAATGTTTGTTTTTTCCTTTTAAAAAAAAAAAAATGTCACACCGTTTGTGAATTTCGTTTGTTTGTTTGTTTGTTTCCGTTTGTTACGACGACGATAATGATGATGGTGATGGTTATTTTATGTTTTATGATTTCACTTCTTTTTCTCTCCTTATAATACGTTACGAATGTAATAAATAACGTATCGATAATAAATTTTAAAAAAAAGAAATTACGAAAAACCGGAAGTACAAAGTCCCCCCGAAAAAAAAAAAATTGTTTTGTAAAATTTTCAAGCTTTAGGCGAGGGCACCTACAACAACAACAACAATAAACAACAAACAACGCCGAAAATATTATTATCATTATTTTATTTAAAAATTTTTATAATATTTATGTAAATAAAAAAAAAATGAAGGATTTAATTAAAAACTACAGGAAATGATAATAATAATAAGTTCGCGCGCGTCACATAAAATTACAAAATGGCGGAAACTCTTAAATTTTGCGTAAAAAAACAAAATTTTTTCTGGAATCAGTTGTAATAATCTTTTTTTTTGGGAGATGCATTTCCCCCCCCCTTTCCCCCTCGAATCTTTCAATCGAGATGGAATAAAAATTATTTTTAGATAAAATAATGATAATAATAATAATAAAATTATTTACACGCGTTTATTATCCATTCACGTTGCGTTTAATTTATTATTATTGATAAAATCGTCGATTAGAATTTCAAATGAGAGTGTGAGTGCATTCGAGAAAATTCCCTCTTCGTCTTCATCCCTCTCCTCCTCCTCCCCTTCCGTCCCCCCACCCGAAAAAAAATTTAAATTTAAAAAGAAAAACGAAGGGCTTCAAGTTATGTTTTTCACATTCGCGTTTGTTGTTTCTCATAAAGGCCCCCCTCGAGGCATCGCGCGGCTGAAGAACCGTTAAAAAAAAAATTACTAATTTTGTCTCAAAGCCGACTGGTTTTTCTTTTTGATCACGTGATTATCCTGTCAAACACCCACCCAGACAAACATTGTTTCAATGAACTTGCTTTATCCCGACCTAGACCTTGGCTCAGTTATTATTACAGCATCGTGTTATTAAATAACCTAAAAGAGAATGTGCAGAAAAAATGTACATATATATATATATATATATATATATATATATATATATAAAATTTTAATTCTACTTATTTAATTTTTATCCATTCCGCCATTTTGATAATAATAATAATAATAATGAAAATTTAATTCTTATTAAAAAAAAGAAAAAATTAAATTAAATTTTCATTTAAAAACCAACAAAAAAAAAGTAAAAAAAAATTAATTGTTATTATTGTTGTTGTTGTCGTTGTTATTTTCTTTTTCTACTTCCACGACTTTTATTTTAAAAAAAAGGCGAGTGACACGTCACGTTTCGTCCGTTATCTCCATAATAAAATTAAACGAGTTTTTTAAAAGTAAAATAAATAATAAAACGTTTACAAAATTAATTTCGTCGTCTTCACCGCCATCATCATCATCATCATTATTATTATTATCATTATTTTAAAAAAAAAACCGTTATTTAAAACGGAAAATTTAATTTATATATATTGAATAATCGAGATTTTTAACGACTTTTTATTGTTTTTTTTTTTTTTAACATTCGCGCGCAATTTAAAAATAATTTAATGATTGCGTTTATATTAAATTGCGTAATTTTAATAGCACAACAAACAACAAACAAACAACAACCAACAAGTAACAAGTAACAAAAATTATTTAAATAATTTTCGAGGAAATTATTTAAAAATTCTCACGTTTTCACACAAAAAAAAAAAAATTTTATTTTATTTATTTTTAATAAAACGTAATAATAATAATAATAATAATAATAATAATAATAATTATTATTATTATTATTATTATCATTATTATTATTATTAATATTATTTATTCATTATTATTAATAACGTACGTGAGTTTTTATTTTATTTATTTATTTGTTTGAAAATTATTGTTATAAAACAAAACAAAAAAAAAAGAGATAAAACTATTAATAAAAAATTAAATAAATAAATATTAAATAATAATAATAATGATAATGATAATGATGATAATGATAATGATATATTATTATTATCTAACACGTAATTAAATTAAGTGCTCGAATTTTTGTAGTCTTTTAATCACGAAAATTTACTTTTCGAATATAATTTTTAAACGTTTAAACAATAATAATAATAGTAATGATAATAATAATGATAATAATAATAATGAGTTTCTTATTAGTTACGTAATAATTTAAAAAATTAAAATATAATAAATTTTATTAAAAAAAAAAAAAAGGATTTTTTATTAGGTCATCGTGAAAAGATGAAAAAAGTTTTTCCGTTCGTTCTTTTGTTCGTTCTCCAGTCGTTAAATTTTTTGGAGAACGATTTTGGAATGTGTGCTGGAACGAAAATCATTTTGTAAAAATTTTTAGAAATTTTTCCGAAAATGAAAACTTTTCATAAATTTTTACACAAAGAATAAAAAATTTTATTTCGAAACCTTCCACGTTAGTTTTTAGTTTTACTGTTAGATAATAATAATAATAGTAAAAATTTTTTAGTGGTTGTTATTGTTGTTTGTACGTCTGTTGTTTTTGTTGTAAAATTATTACGAGTCGTAACAACTACTTTGTCTCGTTATTTATTTACTCAGTAGGATTTGAATATAAAAAAATTTGAGACACGTGAGAGAGAGAAAAAGAAAGAGAGAGAGAGAAGATGGAGTGAATTGAAGATTTGAAAAATAAAAAAAGAAAGAAAAAAAATTTGTGCATATATTATTATTGTTATTGTTAATATTAACATTTTCACGAGGTCATCCAGTGTGTGATATACGTGAGCAATTACACGTATTTGATTTTCAATGTCGTCATCCAGGGTGATAAAAAAAAAAAAACCTAATCTGAAATCAGGTATTGTGTAATAAGATTGATAAGAATTTTTTTTTATTGAGCCTGAATATTTATAAGCAAAAATTGATAATGGGTGTGAGAGGGTGAGTGAGATTCGGAAGAAAAAAAAAAGATGGATGAAATTTTTATTAAAACAACTCTTACGTAAATCATTATCATCATTATTATTTTTTTAAAAGATGTTTATTATTATTATTATTAACAGTTTTGTTTATTAACAGGTTGCAATTGGAAGACCGGATTTCACACTTGATTTGCCACAAGCAGAAAAACTAATGAAAAAAATAGCGTCATCGAAAAGGCGTAGGTGTTGGTGCAGGTTCATGACCTCGATATTAGGTTTGGCATTTTTCCTTTTATCCGTTATGATGGTGAGTCTCGTCGTGACAAAAGGTAGAAGAATGTTTGGAGCATTGTAAACAAAAAAAAATTTTTTTTATATATATATATATATATACATAATAATAATATCCGGTCACGTAAAAAATTAACGAAAGCTCAACGAAACATTTAGAAGAAAAAAAGCTCAAAAAAAAAAAATAAAATAAAATAATTATGATAATTAAATTTAATATTTTTTTAAATAAATAACGTGTGATGAGGATGATGATGATGACGTCGACGTTGTAAATCGCTCACAAGAGATATTACGTCACCAATTTTTTTTTTAATTAATTAATTAATTAATTGTAATTATTATTATAATTTATTTATATAAATTTTATTTTACGTTTATTATTTATTTTTAATAAATGACGTCATTAATCCTTTTTTATTATTTTTATTCGGGTTTTTACTCTATGTTTGTTTTCATGAACGTTTAAAAACAGTTCGAACGTGTAAAGGAAATGCATTAAATTATTATTATTATTATTATTATTATTATTATTATTATTATTATTATTATTATTATTATTATTATTATTATTATTATTATTATTATTGTTGTTGTTGTTTTTTATTGAGGAAAACAAAAAAGTAGAACGAATTCACTTATTAATAAGACCAAAAAAAAAAAAAAAATTTAGCAAACATTTCGTTTTTTTTTTGTTTCAAATTTTAAATTTTAAATCAAAAATTAATAATAATAATAATTATCATTATTAATAAAATTATTTATTTATTTCTTTATTTATTAACTCGATTAAAAAAATTAATTAATTTTAATAATAATATTTAATAAATAAATAAATAAAACGAACGACGTCTAGAATAAAAATTTTTTTTTCGTTAAAAAAAATAGATTTATTGTTATTATTATTATTAATATTGCTTGTTTGGTCAAAGCCTGTTGGTGGCAGCCATTTTTTTTTTGTGTGTTTGTATGGATGGAAACCTAATTTTTGTTTTATTTGTTGCTTACGTCAGCATTCAAATTTGAATGCGTGTAGTATGTTTGTAGAGAGTTGAAATTTTTTTCGTGTTTTAGTCTAATAAATAAAAAAAAATTTTCTTTTTTTTATTATTTATGTATTATTTATTATTAATTTTTAACTGTGTCGTTACATAATAATAATAATAATAATTTTAGTTTTGTTGTTGTCGCTTTTACGATTTATTGATTTTTTAAAAAAAAGAATAAATTTAAATATGAAAAACGCTATAAACGTTTTTAAATATTAAAAAAAAAATTTATTATTTTTAATTTAAGGGTGTATAATAATAATAATAATAATAATAATAATAATAAAAATGGCCGCGTCATCCATTTTATATTCGGTAACGAAAATTGCTTTATCTTACGGTGCCGCTTTCGGTTTCGTTATTCTTTTACATACGGCAATGGAAAGGTTTAGACCGGATATCGTGGACGAAGAAAATCGTCCTCAAAGTGTATCCAACGAAAAAATGTTTAAAAAATACGATTTTATCATCATCGGAGCTGGATCAGCCGGATGTGTTGTTGCCAACAGATTAACGGAAATAACAAACTGGACCGTTTTGTTGGTGGAAGCTGGAGTCGATGAAACTTTTCTCAGCGAACCACCAATGACGTTTAGAGCTTTACAAAAAAGCGAAATGGATTGGCAATTTCAAACGGAACCATCCGGTAAGATAATAATAATATTAATAAAAATAATTTTACCATTTTTTAAATTCGAATTTATTTTCTTCCCCGCGCCCCCCCCCCCCCCGCTTTCGAAAAACAATCGTTAATCCACCATTTTTTTTTCGCAATTTAATTCTTTTGTTGGAAAATGTAAAACTAGGTTGTCTTTTTCAAATATTTTTGATGCAGCTTTCGGAGCAATGAAATCGATTTTTTATTACAAGGAAATTCTTGTCTTTCGATGAAGAACAAAAGATGTAATTGGCCAAGAGGTAAAATAATGGGAGGTTCGAGTACAATAAATGGTAACATATACGTCAGAGGAAATAGAAAAGATTACGATTTATGGGAAAGGATGGGAAATAACGGTTGGAATTATAGAAACGTACTTAAATATTTTAAAAAAAGCGAAAATATGACGATAAAAAAATTTTTTAAAAATTCATATCACGGACAAAATGGATATTTGACTATCGAAGAATATC